GTCCATGTGTAAACAAATGAAATTAGATACTTACATCTCACCATATACTAAAAAAAAAAAAAAGAAAAAAGAAAAAGAAAAAATCAACTCCAAGTGGATCAAACCCCTTAATATAAGACCTGAAACTCTAAAACTGGTAAAGAAAAAAGTAAAGAAAACACTTAAAAATATAGGGATATAGGGAATGAGTTTCTGAATAGGGCTCTTGTAGTCACTCAGAAATTACTTGATGATGGATCTTCATGAAATTAAACACTTCTGCACAGCAAGAAAGCCATTATTATGCAAAAACGGACAGACTACATCTGCCAGAGAGGGTTCTGCTTTATATCTAGAATACACAAGAAGGGAGAGTTGAGGGAGTGAGGGTAGGATTGGGAGGGAATGAGGGAGCTGGATACAGCTGGGATACAGAGTTAATAAAATGTAACTAATAATCAAAATTTTAAAAAAATAGAATACACAAGAACTCAAAACCCTAAAGAAAAGAAACAAACAACCCAATCAATAAATAGACTAATGAAATCAATAAGCCACTCTCAAAAGATATAGTACAAGTATTCAACAAATGTTTGAAAAAATGTTTCTCATCAGTAGTCATCAGAGAAGTAAAAATTAAAGCTACATTGAGGTTCCATCTCTTGCCAATGAGAATGACAGTCATTAGCAAAACAACAACAAATGTTTGTGAGCATGTGGACAAAAGGGAACCCTTATACCCTTGGTGGTAGAGATTTAAACTAGGCCCTGCAGTATGAAAATCAGTATGAAGATTCAAAATAAAATCACTACTCCTGGGTGTTTACACAAAGCACTCCAAATCAACATTTCAGAGACACTGGCATATCAATGCTTATTATAGCATTATGCACAATAGCTGTTGTGGAACAAAAACAAAGCAATGGGTAAAGAAAATATGATGCATGGTCAGGGAGGTCCAAGAGTTCCCTAAAACAATATAGGCAATTACCATTTCTTTTGGCTGACTACCTGAACCAAAAGGTAGACTCTATTGCTAAAGACACCAAACATTCTGTTCATGGGAATCTATATAAAAACAAGCTGGAACAGGGCTAGAATCTTCTTCCCTGATGCCTAACCGTCATAGTGCTGGAAGGTATTATACAGTCTGCTGGAGACAAGTGTCATCAACAGGCTTCCTCAGCTATGTATGTAATGCTACCAGTCATCCAGACAAGACGAGACATCGATGCAACAGTGGTAGGTCAGTGATGGCCATTCCAGCGCATTCTGACCAGATCTGAAGCCCACTTTACAGGATAGAATTCACACTTAGTACTGTAACCCCCATCAGAATCTCATGGCTGGGAAAGTCACAGGCCTCAGCTGGGAAGCTACTGCTGTTGCTATATGGATGAGATGTGCCTGTCAAACTGCCTGTAAAGAGTTATGCTGATACCCGTAAAATTATACTGCTGCTGCCAGCTCTGGTCACAGGGGCATCTTTATACAGTGGTCAGCCATGAGTGCTGTAGTAGGACACCATTGTTAAGGGTAGTTTTTCCTCCCATCCCTTAGCTCTTGGAATAACAATCATGGCAGCATGATTGTAATTATCTGTACAAGATCACCACAAGATTGGAGTTGTCATCATCTTATCATGCAAAGGGGGGGTTTCATGGGCTTCACCCCTCCCTTAGGACTTATAGGCAGATAATAGTTGATGAGGAAAGACATTGTCTTCAGTGGTATAGCCACTGGTGAGACCCCTGTGCTCCTGTAAACAAACTCCCTCCCACTCTCAAGAAAAAAAGAAAAAAAAAACTAACTAATGAAATTTATTGGACCACACACCAAAAATGACACAAAAGTAGAAGCAGGGTTAGTTGAGAAAAGAAAGGGAACTGACAGATGTGATGGGGGTTGGGAGCCAAGACAAAGTAATCAGAATAAATAGGACCAAATTAAGTTACACATGTGTATGAAATTATCACAATGTCACCATAAGACACATTCAACATATGGTAACGGCATTTAAAATAAAGTAAAACAAAAAGTATCTACACTACAAATAAAAAATAGAAAAAAAAAGAGTTTGCTGGATCATCTAAACAAAATGCTACCATGAAAGTCAACTCAGTGAATGTAGAGTCAAACATCCTTTAACAAAATATTAACAAGTCGAGCTTGGGCTGACATGCTAAAATCAGTGTGATCCGCTACATGACTTGGCACCACCATATAAACATCACATGCTTGGTTATCCATAAACCACAGGCGATGACTCCTCAAAATTCAACCTCAGTAGCAGGCCCAGCGTCTGTGGTCCTGTTCCGTCCTTCAACGTTGTTACCTGGCTGCTGTGCCCTCTGCAGAGAACTGCTGCTGTCCGTGTGTCAGAGAGGATAGATGGTGAGATGGTGTGAGCACCATCAAGCCCTCTTGTATGGATGCCTAAGCCCAACCCTGCTTAATCACCTTCTGTAAGCCACGCCTCTGTTTTATTTACTTGCTTATTGTTTGTTTGATCATCTGTTTATTTATTCACTAGTGGAGACTGGCTGTGTAACCCAGGCTGACTCAAACTCTCAATTTTCCTGCCCCAGGGGGCCAAGTGGTGAAGCTATAACAAGCCCCCAGACCTTAGCATGGCTGACACCATGTTAGAAGTACCAGGCTGAGCATGACAAAATGGGAAAAGACCTAGTCCGTAGCCTCAGGAGAGTCTCTAAGTGGAAAGTCCTTAAGTGTGCTAACTTTGCTTTTAGGCTTCTGTAGTTCTACTTGTTCCTAACTGAAGTGTGCCAACCAGGATATAATTTTTTTATATAAAAGAAAAAGAGCTGCAAGGCTCAGGACTACATGTTTTACACAAATCTAATCTAATATATACTATATATAATCTAACATATATTATATATAATGTAACTTATGTGTTTGAGCTGAGAAGCCACATATGAGAGAAATCATGAGATTTCTCTTCCCCCTTTTTCACTTTACTTGTTCCCATCACCCCATTCTTTCAGATACTTCCTATAAAGTGGTCCTCATTCTGCTGTCATGTCTTATTTATACTGTTTTTTATTTCTGTAGGAGTTCATGTATAAATATGTGGTTGGTTGTATTTCAAGTCTGTCTTGGTTTTGCTCTTGAGACAAGGCCTCATGAAACTCAGGCTGACTTCAAACTCACAATATAGCCATGGCTGGCCTTGAAGAGCTGATCTTCCTGCCTCTTTGTGCCAAATGCTGAGGTTACAGGCATGCATCACCAAGCCCCGTCCAGGCTTGTACCAGTTAATGCAGTCATCTCCAGCTCCATCCATGTTCCTGCAACTGACATAATATCATCCTTCTCCTTCTTTACAGCTGAATAAAATCCACTGAGTGTATTTTTAAGAAAAAAAGATATTTGGAGATAAATTTAATGGACTGTGTCTTATTATAAATTAAAATAATAATATTAATAAAGGAAATATAAGTAAATAATAAGATCTCGCAAGTTAATGGATTGAGATAGAATATTTTTCAGTTTTGTTCTCTTCCAGGTTGCCTATCGAGATTGTGTGACTCCAGTCTAGATTCCAACATTCTCCTCTGTAGATAAATTTTTCCCAAAATGCACATGAAAATCCATAACAGTTTGAGAAAGAACAATGAGGGACAACTCACCTAAAACTGCAACTGCAGGGGTCATGGAGAATGAAGAGGACACACTCCAACTAGACAGGACTCCTAGTGGAGGGAGTCCAAACCATCCACAAAAACTTCAGCCCAAAATTTACCCTGCCTACAAGATGTTCAGGGATAAATATAGAGCAGAGATTGAGAGGACCAACCAATGCCAGGCCTAACCTGAGATCCACCCCATGGGAGAGTGACATCCCTGACACTATTAATGATATTCTGCTATGCTCACAGACAGGAGCATAACATAGCTGTCCTCTGAGAGGCTCTACACAGCAGCAGTTAAAACAAATGCTCACCTCCAAACATTGGGAAAAGAATAGAGAGTCTTATGGAAAAGTATGAGGAAGGATAGAAGGACCTGGAGGTTCCAGGAGCTCTACAAGAAGACCAACAGGGCCAAGTAACCAGGGCCAGGAGGAGAAAGCAGAGACTGAAGCACCAACCAAGGACCATGCATCGACTGGACCTAGGCCCCCTAAACAGACGTAGCTGATGGGCAGCTCAGGCTTCGTGTGGGTGCCCTAGTAAAGGGAGCTGGGGCTGTCTCTGACATGGACTCTGTTGCCTGCTTTCTGACCACTTCCCCCTGTGGGGAAGTGGCTGTCTTGCTTGGCCACAGTGGAAGAGGATGAGCTCAGTCCTGATGTGACTTGAAGGGGGGCTCCCCTTATCTGAAGAATAGGGGATGGGGAGGGGACAGGAAGAGAAGATAGGACCAGAAAGAGAGGAAGGAGGAAGGGGGTTAAGATTGGGATGTAAAGTGAACAAGTAAATTAATTTTTAAAAAAACTGCAAATCCACTATAAAATTAAGATAGCTAAGACAGCTTGCTCATATATAAATATAGATGTGTAAGTCAATGTGGCAAAGTAAAGAATTACAAATAAATCCACACTTGAAAGATCAAGTCATTTACTTTTTTTTAAATTTTTTATTTTAGATCAAGTCATTTTCAGTAAAAGTAATTTAAAAATAAAATAATCATCTCAAAATTAAGTCAATGGATGAATAAAATAAATGTCAAACTTATTTCATGCCATATACAAAAGCTGAACCCCAAACTGATAAACATCGAATTTAAAGGTAAAACTATAAAATTTGTAAAGTAAAACAGCCAAAAAACTTTGAGACTTTGAGGTAGACAGATTCTAATCTGAAAGGATCAACCACAAAAATAAAAAAGTCATCATCGAAATGTTTAATTTTTTTTGATCTCCTGAGTATTTTATTAAGAAAATAAATTTTCAGGGCTGGAGAGATGGCTCAGTGTATAAGAGCACTAGATGCTTCCACATTAAGGATATGGCCACAACTGTGGCTGCTGTCACAATGCCCCCCACACACATGATTTCAGGAGCAAATTCGTCTCTGCCTGAGATGCTTCATGGCATTTTTCACCTCCTCGTTCCTCAAGGTGTAAATGAGAGGATTCAACAGAGGCGTGACCACTGTGTAGAAGACAGATACCACCTTGTCAATGGAGAAGCTGCTATCCGGCCGCGTGTAGAGAAAGATACATGGCCCAAAGAACAGGGCAACCACCATAAAGTGGGATGAGCAGGTGGACAGGGCTTTCCGACGACCTTCTGCTGACTGCTTTCGAAGAGAAAACAGGATGGCTGTGTAGGAGGCGACCAAGGCTAGAAAACAGGTGAGGGAGATGGTTCCACTATTCGACACGATCAGAATCCCTGTGAGGTACGTATCTGTGCAGGCCAGTTTGATGACGGGAGGCACGTCACAGAAGTAGCTATCGATAATGTTCGGGCCACAGTAGGGCAGACGAATAGTCAAGAAGGTCTGCACAAGTGAATGCACAGTGGCCCCCAGCCAGAGGGCGAAGACAAGCTGTACACAGACCTTCAAGTTCATCACCTTGGGGTAATGCAGTGGAATGCAGATAGCCGCATAGCGATCGTACGCCATAATCGTCAGCAGGAAGATCTCAGCACAAGCAAAAAGGTGTAGGAAGAAGAGCTGTGCGATGCAGTTGTCAAAGGAAATGGTCTTCCTCTCTAACAGCAGACCCTCCAGCATCTTGGGCACGGTGACAGATGAGTGGCAGATGTCAATAAAGGACAGATTGCTCAGAAAGAAGTACATCGGAGTGTGAAGATGTGGAGTGAAGACGATGGTAACAACAATGAGAACGTTCCCCAAAAGTGTTAACACATAAGTGACTGTAAATGGTATGAAAAACAGAATCTCCAACGCCCAGTTGTCGGTGAGGCCCAGGAAGACAAATTCAGTCACTCTTGTTTGGTTTAGAGCTCCCATCTAATGAGCATTCCAGAGGATCTGAGGGAGGGGGTAAATTTTAAAGTATCCTGAGTAATATAGGGACAAAATAATTGAAATGACTGTTTTCCTATGAGGCTTGGCATTAATATATAAGTTACCCAAAATCCTTACGCTTTATTTTCCTGGCTTTTTTCATTTCAGAATAATCCACCATTGACAGTATCAGATTAATATTCCAAAATCATAAAACCCCAACTGAAACCACTTATTATTTGACTTCTGTTATTAAGATATCTGACCTCCAAAACCTTAACAGTCTTTTGTTTTATTCAATGAGGGGTCCTTTTACAGCTATTAAAATACTATTTATCTTTTACTTCATTTTTTTATCTCAGAGCACTGGCTTTAGGAAAACTATACTGATTCAATAAAAATCTGTTTCTCTTTCATAATTATTTATGGTACTTAACTATAAAAGAAAGTAGTAGATGTAGTTTTTATTCTCACTAACTAAACTGTTCTTTAAAAGTACAGAAGTAACAGAAAGAGTGTAAGAGCCAGAGGACCAGGAAAATCTTCTGTGAGATGGTGTTTCCTACAAATGACAGAAAAGCTTTATCCATGATACTTCGATAGAACTACTTAAACAAGACCCGAACATGTACAATACCAAGAGAAGCACTAACATGAACTGGGGTACTTCCATAGGATCCCAACAATAAACAAAGAACTACAGGCAACTACAGAATACTGAGAGTGGAAGAAATAGTCTTCCTCAGGGTGGAGCCCCCTATTTGGTTGTCCAGTACCAAGTGGTCAGCCCTGAAATGACATATGCACAGGCAACATTAAACACTCATGGCCCAAGCAAGTTGTATTTATATATTTATGCATCTGTATTTTCATGTATAAATAATATATATCATAACAATTAGAGAAAGGAAAGCCATAAATTTGAGAGGGAAGATGGGAAGGCACATGAGAGGGTTTGGATGGAGGAAAAGGTGGGGGAGGGAAGATAACATAATTATATTCTAATTGTAAAAAAAATGAATTTTTCAAAAATAGCCACACGTGACTCACCTCTTGCAGTACTCTGCATGTGCCTTGCGCACTGAGGTTTGCAACTATCTTACTTGCACAAAACTGACTTCTTAGGCATTGTGAGTCCCAGCATTCCCTCCCAATGGAACTAATTGTTTACGCCGATGACCATAAACTCTAAGATAACCATCACAAATCACCAAAAACGGAGGCTTTGATCAAATTGTTTCCCTTAGGGGAAGGTAATCATTTACAGTGTCCAAACTGCAGAAGAAGCTAAAGGCAGAGGAATATTAAATCTAGTACTATTTGTTCATGGGATTGGTGTAGGGGGCTTGGAACGAATGAATGAACTTGACTAGGTATCCAGCCTCTAGGAATGACAGTGACAAGAGATTACCAACACAACAACTATTGAAACAGTACAACATGGTGATATTTAATAGTATATTCTCAGCATTTTGTTAGGAGGTAGTGCTACATAAGTTATCAAAAGACGAAGACAATACTGGAGAAAAATGTCAGAACACATATGACAGAAAGGGAGACTATTCTCTTATTCAAAGACCCTTAAAAAGCCAGGTATGGTGGTGCACATCTTTAATGCCAGCACTCAGGAGGCAGAGACAGGCCTGGACTACAATCCAGTACAGGACAGCCAAGACCCTGTTACACAGAGAAACCCTGTCTCAAAAAGAAGGAAAAAAAAAAACTTTCAGATTTGATAGTAAAATACAAATAATAAAACTGAAAATGAGCAAAGAATACAAACACAAACCATCACAGGAATGGAGTCAGAGAATGGCATCCAAGTGTTGTTCAGCATCAGTAGAAGTTAAAAGAATAAAACCAAATACATTGATTTTGTTTTTCTCATTGGCAAAAGCATGAAAGACTGATTCATCCCTTTACCTACTGTTATTGAAAGTTAGGATTCTTAAGACAGTTGTGGGAAATAAATTGCCAGTACCAAAAAGAATTTTAACGTCTGTACTTCTAAACCAAGGAATCCCATTTTCAAGACTGTATTTCATAGAACTAAGGGAACTGGTAACTAGTGACTAAAGGTACTTACTTAATGAAATACTTTCTGGTGAAACAAGGTATTGGAAACAAACACGCGTATCAATACAGAAATAAATGATTTTAAAAGATTTTTTAAGCTTTATCTTATTATTTTAGGGGTATGTGTGTTGTGCCAAACATATTTCTGCACAATATGTTCATGCCTGGTGTAGGTAGAGACCAGAAAAGAGTGTCGGATCCCCTGGAACTTAAATTCCAGGCAGTTGTTGAGCTGCCATGTGGGTGCTAATAATCAAACGGTTCCTGTGGAACAGCAGCCAGCGCTCTTAACTGCTGGGTCCCAGGAATAAATAGTTTTCAGTACAGGAACAACATGGACTACGGTAGAACCATTAATAAACTGGATTTATGTGCAGTAACCTAAGGTAGTGGTTCTCAATATGGCTACAGATCAAAACTACTTATTTATATAAATTTTGACGTCCAACGTTACCTCAAATAATTAATTCATCTGTCCTTGGTGATTTCAATATACAGTCAAGATCACAACCAACTAATTTCAAAGAATGTCCAAGAAAAAACCTATTATGAATATAATGTGAGTCTTGGAAAAGGAAGAAGAGAAGAAGAAAGAAATGAAAGAAGAAAGGGACAAAGGAAGAAATCAAGAGGCAATCACGTATGCAGATATTTACATATATATTAAAAATCCAAACATATATAAGAATTCATTATTTCTATTTGTATTTCTAAAACAGCAGATGTTGAATAATACCAGTTTTAATATTGTTTGCTTCCATAAGCAATGGAATTTAACATACAAAGATTTTGTTAATTTCTGCATTATGCTCTATAATTGTTTATATACCAGGCATGTTTTATTTTTTATGAAGAAATTATCTTTTAATTTAATTATTACAATATTGATTCCTCTTGGAATAACTTCACAAAAGAGCCCAGGTAGCCACAGGACAATAAAGACATCATTTCTACTTAAATACTCCTTCAGTGCTATTATGCAAGTAGGTTTGGCTTTTTGACCCTGTTTTTGTTTCTTCTAAGCCAAGGAGACCAAGTGATGTGGTAGTTATTTATTCAAGTGGCTACGCAGAATTTAAACGTGCAGTGTACACACTACAGCTTCCGTTTCCTCCATATCTTGTCACCTAGGAGTGTCATGAACATGAATAAATGACTCACTTCTACTTTTCTTTCCCCCTCTACCTGTTAATATTAATTAAATGCTAAATGAGTCTTATGGATATTCAATCATTAAGAATTATGGAATCTTGGGGATATAAAGTGAATAAAGTGTAATTAATAAAAATTTTAAAAAGATAAAAAATACTCAAAAAAATTATCGAATTATAAAAGACATTATAGAATCATATTATATATAACATTTATGCCACACACACATACACTGTATTCTCTATATATATGCAATTTATATAAAATTATAGAGTTAAGATCTCTTGTTTATAAATAAAAGATTGGCAATGATGTGCTAGTACAAATATCTGAGATAAATTATAACCTTCCTAACATGCAAACACAGTTTATTCACTTTGTATCCTGGCTGTGGCTCTCTCCCTCATCTCCTCCCAATACCACTCTCCCTCCCTCTTTTCCCCCTATGCCCTTTCCCTAGTCCACTGATAGGGGAGAACCTCCTCCCCTTCTATGTGACCCTAGCCTATCAGGTCTCATCAGGAGTGGCCGCATTGTCTTCCTCTGTGGCCTGGTAAGGCTGCTCCCCCATTAAGGGGAGGTGATCAAAGAACCAGCCACTGAGTTCATGCCAGAGACAGCCCCTGCTTCCCTACTAGGCATATTTTAAAAAGAAAAAGAAAATACTGAAGAAATTCGGGGAGAGAAAAATACCAAAAATATGGTGACTTCATAGAGTTGCAAGTAATTTTTTTTCCTTCTCTGTGTTTAAGGGACTATAATGTGGTTTTGTTTTTGTTTTGTTTGTTTTGTTTTGTTTTGTTTTGTTTTGTTTTGTTTTCTTACTCTGTGAAATGGTCTCACTATGCTGCTTAGGCTGGCCCAGAACTCCCTTGGTAGCCAGGCCAGCCATGAACATACAACCTTCCCACCTCGGGCCCCGTAAGCACTAGGGTAGGAGGCATGCACAAACACATGTAACTATCATTGTGTCTTCTATGAATAAATATGCTCACACTGGGAATCATCACTATCATTGCCAAAACATGAAAACACATAACCATTTTGGTTTGGTTTGGTTTTTCCAATGATACTAGCAACTGAACCAATTTAATGTATGCTGTTAGGCATACATGATATCTCCAGCCTGTGAGGACTTTCAAATACAGAAAAAGTTAGGCTTAGTGTCTTGCAAAAATAAAGATGTTAAATAAAAAATATTAAATTCAAATTAGTGAGTAAAAACAAAAGTTAATTAAGAATGCTTCTTTTGGGTCGCAGTGGGCCTGTGTTCAAGCATTCACTTAATATACACGAGCCCCTATGTTTGATACCTAGTAGAAGAAATGGAAGAAGAGAGATGGGGGAGGTGAAAGGAAAGACTTCCTCTTTTATTGACTTAGTGATAGGCCTTTTAAAATAAAGAAAACTATTTATCTGGGTGTTGTAGCACACACCTGTAATCTTAGCACTTTGGAAGCTGAGGAAGAGGGATCAGACTTTCCAAAGCCTCATGCTAAGGCCCAGTGCCATGGGCTAAAAACACAGTAAATGGGATGTAAGCAAGCAAACATACAGGGGCCTTTAAGAAACAAGGGCTCTAGCCATGCATCCCTTGAAGACAGGGAAATATTTCATTTTTCTAACCATATAACAAAGTCACAGAAAAGAAAGAACTCACTAAATACTTCGTTGCTGGAGAAAAAAAAAAAAGTAAGTAATATAACAAATTAAAAAAAAAAAAAACAGTGAAAAGACCAAACTTTGGGGAGGGGGACAAGATGAATTACACCACA